CCGATTAATTGAGTTGCATGTGGGACAAGTCTTTTACTCAATATGATACCAAAATAGTTATTTGACATGATTACCGTTGTTTTAAATATTCTTGATGTCACTAGATATGTTATACCGTTATTTGAATTTACTGTTACCGAAATGAAATTACATGATTTGATAAGAACCGAAATACCCTATATTGTTTTAGAATATTTTCCTATGAATATATACGGATACAGAGACAAGTATAAATGGGAGTAGACTTTGAAGGATCCCGTAGCTAACGGCGGGTTCGTTAGACCTGGTGCACCTTGTACATACAGATTACCGATTATAGTTATTGTCCTCGCTAGTGGGAAGGTAGAACTAGCATATCGTTACCGATTTCCCTCGAGTAGGGACTACCGTTATATTTGACTTCTTGCGAAGAAGTCCACAGTTATACCGATTATATGATGCGTTAATTGAAACCTCCCAAAATGTGAATACTGATATTATACAGTGGTTACCGAGCTTATTACTGAATTGTTAATTATATTTTACTACAAGAAAAGCGTGATGAGACTGAAAATTATTTATTGTTTCTGAAAGGGCATTTTTATGTATTTTCTCTTTGAGATACTAGCATGTTTCTGACTTGTCTCTGTAAATAGGTTGATATTGGTGTTGTTAAAATTTGAAATTTAGATATTTTTATAATGAAATAGGGTACTAGTAGCTTTATTTTAGTAGGGTGGCTGAAGTGACCCTTTGGCTCCTGCCATAGCAGATTTCAGGCTGTCCTTTCACCTTTTGGACAGCCTTTAGCCCACAAATTCAGCCTCTTTTGGACAGATTTTTGGGGAACCAAAATCTGTCCAAAAAGTTGGCTTTTCTTTGCCTATTTAAGGGCTGCCCTTTCTTCATTATAAAGGACTCCAACACACTACAATTGAGAAGGAAAAACACACAAAAACATTAAAAAATCAGCACTTGAACACATGGAAAGTAAGCTAAAATGGTGAGCTTTAGGAGTTGATTTTAGAGTGCAAACTTTTAGAAAAGTATAAGTCCTCTTTAGAGTTCGTTTCTGGGTTTCTCCTCTGAATTTTCGGGCTGTTTTAACACGGATTTGCTGCTGATTTTGCTGTTGTTGTGCTGCTGTTTTTTATGCTGGTTGAATTGCTGGACTACCATTTATTCTTTTGCTATTCAGGTAATCCTTTAAGACTCGTAATGTATGTATTTTTAGCAATGGGAATAAGTTGATATGTCAGTAGTTTTATGGATTTTTAAGCATGTTTTCAAGCTATTGTATTCGAGTAACAATGTTAAGTATGCCATGAATGACTTTAGGTGTATAACACATAGCATGAGTTTGTTTTAGTTGCTGAAATTTCAATGCAACATTGCTTCTAGGATTGCTGTTTTTTTTTTCGAATCTGGCCATTTTTGCCATTTTTGCAAAAGTGGCTATTTTTGTAAAGTATTTTTTTTGAATCTGGCCATTTTGCCAGCTTTGCAAAAGTGGCTATTTTTGTAAAGTATGTGTTTATACAATTGTGGCTATGTAGTTAATGGTCATAAATGCAAACTAAGTTAAAGAACCAATATTGTATCAACTTTGGGCCTTATTGAACCAAAAAATAAAAGCTGGCCCATTTACCTTAAACAACAAAATTACCCTTTTCTTCTATATAGCATTGGGCCAATAAAAATCCATTTCTTGGCCCATTTTTTAGTAATAAATTCCAGCAGCCCAAGAGGTCTTTACAAGCTGGCCCATTTCCCCTTTTAACAAAGAAGTTGGCCCATCCCTTTAAAATAGATAGAGTTGGTCCAACATTTATTTGCATAATATTTTCAATAATAAGATTAGGAAAATAGAAATAAAAATCAGATTTTTTTTATATACCAATTAAGTAACTCACTTTCTTCCAATTAATTATATCGAACGCTAGGCAATTAGTAGGTGCGCTCTAATTCCACGGTTTCGCTTGCGTAACGTGATGTTCAACATTCAATAATTTAATTCAACAAGGTCATATAATATTCGTTAGTTTTCCAGTTGATTTTTTAGTTTAATAAACTCTTTGCCAAACTCGCGGATTCGCTTGCGTAGCGCGATAATTGACCTTTTAATAAATTTAAAAAAAAATTAATAATTAAACTCTTAGAATGTATTAATTTTCCTAGAAGTAAATAACTTGCTAACAATTGTTTGTCATGACTGCGGATTCGCTTGCGTAGCGCCGTTATGATTAAATAATAAATTTCATCGATCACGCATTCGCTTGAGTAGCGCGACGGTTGACTTGTAAATTTTAAAGAGCTAATTTTCTCAAATGTAGTATTTTTTTTTTAAAGTATTGCAAATAATTGATTGTCATGATTTCGGATTCGCTTGCGAGGCACAATTATGACAAATTAATTGATTATTTTTTATTCGATCACGCATTCGCTCGCGTAGCGTGGTTATGATATTTTTTATATTAATCAAAAACATTCTTTGATTTCTCTAATAATCAAGAGATAAAAGCGGATAGGTACAACATGAAAATAATATAAATCACAGTTTGTCCAAAATTAATTCAAGCCAAGTTTAAGTCAATAAAGCGACCGTGCTAGAACCACGGGACTCGGGGAATGCCTTATACCTTCTCCCCGGTCAACAGAATTCCTTATCCGAACTTTGTTTTCGCGGACCGATAAAAATAGAGTCAAACCTTCCTTTGACTAGGGATTCAAATAAATGGTGACTTGGAACACCGAAAAAATCAATTCCAAGTGGCGACTCTAAACAATAAAATAATCCCTACTCAAGTTTTTGTCACTTTAATTGGAAAAACTCTTTAACCCATACATACCTATATTTCGGGGGTACAAAAAGTGGTGTGACAGAATAGAACCCTCTATATAGGGAGAAAGTGACTTAACCATCAAGTAATAAACCCTAAATACAATTCTATTTATAGACATTCACCATAAATACAATTCTATTTATAACACTTTTGAAAAATAACCTTTGTTCTGTATAGTTACGCACAAATAGTCTCAAACAGAAAACTTTTCGGCCAGGGTTGGTCGTGAATCTTCGGAAAAAAAAGAGATTAATAAGAAATGAAAGCAGAAAAAGAGAAACAAAAGGGTAAAACAAAAGGGAGCAAACCAGCGGCAAGTTGCGGTACCTACAACCTCCGCTTCCTCCCCGCCGGTGGTAATTTTCCAGCGAAGCTCAAGCATAAGTTGGTCTCTGAAATATTGAGTTCAAGGTAAACTTATGTAGCTGTTTTTTGGTGATTCTTCTAGCATCTATTGTGCTTGATAAATGGCTTTAAAGCTTATTCAAAGAGGAATCCATGAAGCTGAAAACCCAATTGAAGTGTCTCTTAGAGAAGCTTTTGAGCTTCGTAAACCCCAGCTAACCCCCCCATTTTCCTTAAAAGTCCTAACACAAGAGGAATACTCAAAAATTAATAAAGCTTTAATCTTTGGCATTTTATCCCAACCCCATTTGGCTAAAGTTCATATTAAGCACCTGCATGCAATTATTACTGATGGGTATGGTTTCTTTACTTGTATTCTTGTCAATATTGTTGATGAATTGTATCCAAAGTTGCTTGACTCAGTGAAAATTCAGCTTATATGGGTTACTAAAGAGATGTTAAATGTATTGGCTATAGGTTTTGATAAATTGCTAGTGGCTATTTTAAGGCAAATTGTTGGTGGAGATTTTAGGGAGGGCAATTTGTGGTTGTGTTTGGAAATGGTTACCTTGTTTTTAGCCAATTGGGATTGTTTATTAGAGGAAGAACCATTGGTCTTGAATAAGGGGTTGTATGTGTTCCTTCGGTTATTGACCGATCATTATAGGGTACCAAGTAATCCAATGATAGACGCATTGAAGAGAATGGAGGTTGAATTTTGCATTCGACTTTTGAGGGAACACTTCCCTTTGTGTTTGAAGATAGGGAGGGACTTAATTAGGCTTTTGCAAGACTTGGTTCATATACCTGAGTTTAAAGCCATATGGAAAGACTTGTTATTGAATCCAAGACAGTTTAGGGCGGACGAATTTGAAGATATCTCACAAATTTACCGCATAAGAACTCCGGGTTTGTACTTTTTGCTTCGAATAACTCCTGAAATGGAAACCAAATTGAGGTTTTTGCTTACACATGTCAAGTTGGGTAGTCAAAAGAGGTACCAGGTTTGGTTTGCTAAGAAGTTCCTTGGAGTACCCGAGAGAGAAACCATTTTAACTGACATTGTTAGGTTTATATGCTGTTCAGTTCGTCCATCCAGTGAAATTACGGAACCGGACATCTTACCCAGATGGGCTGTGATTGGTTGGCTATTGAAGTCGTGCAGGAAGAGTTATATCGAAGCAAATGTAAAGCTTGCATTGTTTTATGATTGGCTTTTCTTTGATGAAACCACCGATAATGTAATGAACATTGAACCTGCAATTCTTTTAATGGTGAACTCTATACCAAAGTATATTGAAGTCACCCATACTCTTCTTGAGTTCCTACTAATTGTGGTTGACAACTATGATATTGAGAGGAAGGAGATTATCTCCAGAGGGGCGTCAACGGCTCTTTCTATGATTGTTGAAAATGGAATTATTGGTTCACTTGATGTTTTGACTCGATGTGACATGATATCACCCGTCCTTAGGGAAATGCTTGGAAAAATGTTATTGGTCATGCAAAGTAGCCATTCCAAAAAGTTAAGATCAGCCAGTGTTATCCATGACATATCACCACCCATACATTTGCTTCCATCAAGCTTGGGATCTCAACACCCTAACAGGGTAAGCTGAAATAAATTGCGTGTCGTCACAGGCATACTCAGGGCGGACCTGCTAATGCATCTCTTTCGCCTCCTGAAGAATTGCTTGTGAACCTTTTCTTTCAATAGGTGATAAAGTTCCACTCAAGTGGATGACTGCAAGGAAAAGTTTGAAATCAAGGTGATAGGAGGTTTCTCTGGGTAATACTCGGATATCCTAAGATGTATATTCCCCGTCATGTTGCTAAAAGTTTGCTTTTGGTCTTAAGTACTGCACATTCCTCTCATTATTATGTTTTTATCCGATATTCTCTATTCTCAGAATAGCTTGTTTTTGTCAGCCGCTCTGCATTCTGCAGTTGTCAAATTACTTAGACCACAGGGATTAGCATCTTCAACAACTCTTAGTTCACATCCTAAATGATAATTGTAAGTTGTGATAAGATTTGGTCATCTAATCCGTGTGAGAGGTGATCACTAGTTTTGAATTGTGCAATGCGGTTGGACAGGATATGGTTATCCCCACCCAAACTTTACCATGCCATCCCTATGTATATACTCCACAATTTTTTTACCCTCTTCCAGGTAAGTCTTAACCCTGGCGACACTGTATTTGCACCTACCTCAGCTGTGGGGAACTTGAGTTAAGAAAACAACATTTCTTGGTTTTATTCTTTCTGTGCTAGTGACTTGGCCATCAAAAAGGGTTGAAAACAGCACCTCCTTTGATGAACTTATTCGCTCAAGTCTCAGCCTCTTTTATAGTGAGTGGTGCTATCGAGAATGGGAAGTGGAGATGACCTGATAGAAGAAGAATAGAGGTTAAACTACTCCGTTAAATTCTCTTGTTTGCTTTATGCCTAAAGCCAATCGTATAGATCAAGTAAGATGGAAGCTTGAATGAAAAGGTTGTTTTACTATCTGAAGTGTGTATAAAATTTGCAGGCATAATGCATTAGCAGGTGTATTGACATTTTCTATGGTATAAACTGCAATCAGAGAGTTCTTTGGTGCCTTTTCATCTTACGGTTGGCTTGTAAAGGAGATTGTAAGTTCTGCAACATCATCGATCTTGAGACATAGTATATCAATTTCATGTTTTTATTGAAGGATGAATATATCTAATCAAATGGTTCTTACTTTCATCTTATGGTTGGCTAGCCAAAGAAGATCGTAAACTCTGCAACGTCTGTGAGTGTATGGACCATTTTGTCTCTCAACTTGTCTAAAACACTAAATTAGTAACCGTGTAGGCAATTTCAGATATACTTAGGCAATTTTCCCCAACTAAGCTTAAGCTTTAGATTAGTGGTGGTAACCAGAACAAATAAAAATATTAGATTCTTTAAGTTACTTGGAAGGATTGCTCAATCGCCTAAGTAATGGTAAAGTTAATTTCATCGCATTTGAATAAATATGGAAAAGCGATCTTAAACGATTTTACTATATATTAGAAGCAGCACTTTGGGTGTACGAACAGTCGAACACTGCATTCATAATTTGTACAAAAGGCACTGTAAATCGTACTCTATATTTAGGCTTACTTCATTAGTAAGTTAACACGTGTACATCTGTATTTTACCACATGTACTTCAGTTCACTATTTCAGATATCTCTTCACTCCCCTAATTGTCACATTCACGGCTCTCTGCAATTTTCCTCTTCCTTGGCTACTTCAAGAGGTTTGAGTTTTCTCCTTTTTTTTTTTTTGTTTTTTTTTTTTAATTTCATGGATTCTGTCTCTTTCTAATTTTATCACTTGCTTGATACTGATCTTCTAGCCTCTGTTGTGTTTATTTTTATATTCTTTTGAATAATTTCTTGCTAGATCTACATACATGTCTGAAGTTCTCTCTGATTTTGATAAGCATGTTTGGAAACAAATACTTAGGTGCGTGTTTTTTGTTTCTAATTTTGGTTGTGTAACGTTGTTTTTAGTGTGCAAATTTTATTATTTGAAGTTGCCGATTGAAGGTGAATTCAAAAAGTTTGTTTTTCTGATTTTCTTTAGATTTGCTTTCTTCGTTCTTAGAAAAGTGGATCTGAAGCAGTGAGATGCTTCTGTTCTCCAGTTTTGTTCTCTCTCTTGTGAGTTTTATGTAATATGTGATTCCTATAAATGACTCTCACTATTACTATACAGTTGTAGAGTGATGCACCTAAGGTGTTTGATAAGGAAATCTTTTGCGAGGCACTATTTGGTTCTTGAACTCTTCACTATTTCAATGTATTTCATGCATTGCAACAGACATGGGGGTGGTCTTCTGTTTTGAAACCATTACAAGCTTGAACCAATTACCTGAGCGAGAAAAAAATCATCGGCGAATTTGAGAGGAGCTGGCTCAATGAACAGGAAAACTACTATCAATTGATAGGTAATCATCATGCATCATCAATAAACCATGATAAACATCAAAATGTGCATATGTAGGCTATTCTGGAAAAGGTCTATTATTGAGCTCAATTCATGATTGATACACATAGGTGATCATTCTTCTGAATGTGCCAATGATACTGGTCATGGCTGTTCAACTGATGCACAAAGCTTTACAATTTTTTTTTTTTTTGAAGTTATTGTTGCTGCATATAATGAATATGATATCAAAGTCATTTGTTTCACGGGTTGGGCATGTCACACAACAAAATGATGAAGGAATTTGCATTGGAGGTTTGAGAAGAATGCAAGTCGATATTATTCTTTCTTCTTTTTTTTTCCTGGTATTTGTTTCTTCTTTTCATTTTGTTTTGGTACTGCTTCATGTTTGTGTGGAGTATTTTGTAACTATGAACAAACTATTCCTTTCTTCAAAGTTATGTGAAATATGTCTTGAATTATCAGATCCACACTCCAAAGAAGAAAGTGAAGAAGGAAAAAGAAAATTTGCTGAACTTGCTAAATCATATATAAGGACTCATTGTAAACTTCTGTTATGTTCTTTTCTATGTGTCTATGTGATCTTTGGTGACATTTAGGGAAAACATAATTACTATAAGAGCACAAGCCTGTAGGATTGCATATTTTTGTTCGTAACACGCAGCGGAAGACAATAACAATCCTAGGAAGATCTTTTCGTGTTTAAAATTTATTTACATGTCAATAGATCGGATCTAAGACGTACCTGGTGAAGAAAGTCTCGTTTCAAAATTTCTTCGATAGTGCGAAGACTCTATGCGTATCCACACCGAGACCGATCCTTGTAAACAACTCTTTGATCACGAAAAGATCTTCCTAGGATTGTTATTGTCTTCCGCTGCGTGTTACGAACAAAAATATGCAATCCTACAGTGGTATCAGAGCCGTGGTTTATTGTGTCTAAAATTTATTTACGAAATATTTTAATATTATATTTGAAGAGTTCAAACCATAATACATGTGTCTTGTGCAATAGTCAAATCGTTTGAATGTTGATATTATTTTATTGTGGATAAAATATGCATTCATATAACTATTGAGATAGTTCATAGCTTGAATTTGAAATTTTGTATTAGATACAATGGGAATCTATAATAGGTTACATGATTCTATTGTTATTTTTAATTGTTATTAATTCATGTTAATAATAATATTCTAGCATGAATTCTTTTTATGTGATATATAAGATAAACATGTTAGAGGATGTTGAATTTCGTTTCTATGTCATGTGCTTGTTCATTACATAATTTTGAATTATTTATTACATGTGATGTAAACTAATTTAGGACTAAGCATGTAGACAACTTGAACTAAATTCACATGCTATAAAAGATTTGATCTTCGTGTTATTAAAAATTGTTTTAGTAACAATTCCCTCTTACTAAAATTTGAGTTCTTAAATAATAAAATATAAGATATTTTATTATAGAGCTATCCATCAAGGTAAATAATTGTACTTATTTCTTGTTTATAAGGAGCGGCCTGACTACCAGGAGACTTATAGTTCGAGAATATGTTAAAATTATTTATTGCATTAGATGTATGGATTAAAAGAATTATTCAATTTTACACTAGACGCCTGGACTACCCAGGGGAGTATAAAAATTTAATAAGTTCTTTGCTATCATGATGGTTGAACTCAACTATGCCAATAGGATCGACCTGACTACCAGGGGACTATTTGACATAGAGCTATTTAAGGAAGTTGTATGGGGATACAATTGGTAAGAGTACCTACCTTTAAAATATATGTGAGAAACGACTTGACTTCCAAGGGGCTCATACATATTGTTAAAGGATTCCTTTACTTCACTAAAAGAAATAAAGATTTCGTAAACTATAATGAGGGTAAATAGTTTAAAATAATTAGTGAAAATATCATTTAGATAAAAGTCCATGTCTTTATGATATATGCAAATATGTTCTTATATTATTGCCTTTTCTTTTCTATATTTTAGATTTCTCAATATGTCTGTTATATCACTGCGTGGAATACTTGAGACCAACAAGTTGGTAGGACCAAACTTTGATGATTGGTACAGAAATTTGAGAATTGTTCTCATGCATGAAAAGCTTATTGATGTGATCGATAAGCCTGCCAAGGAAGTCCCCGATGAGAATGATGAGGATGCTACCAAGATTTATCAGAAATACTTGGAAGAATGTCTTACTACCAAATGCATCATTCTCGCTTCTATGAATTCTGAACTACAGAGGAAACATCAGGATATGGATCCAACTGCAATCATTGAACATCTTAAGAGATGTTGGTACACAAAGCAGGA